GATTTTAGAAGACTTTTATTATTATATAAAGCTATACTTATAATAGTATAAGACTACTAAGAAGAATTCTACTAGCCTTATTAAAGAATAAAAGAATAATATTAATTAGATATAAAAAGTATAAGTAATAGCGCTAGATATAAAGTAGAAGAAGTTTATTTATAAAAAAGAAGATATTTATATTACTTACTTTATAACGCTCTATAGCTCTATAGAACTAGTAACTAAGATTTATTAAATAATTTTCTTATAGTATATTATAGTACGCTAAGATATTATAGAGATTCTAGCTATAAAAATATATAATAAAATTTTAAAAGCTTATTATAATCTTATAGTCTTTTCTATAACACTATCTAGATATTATAATAAGTATAGTAGTATTAAGTAGATATTTTTAGTAGATATATATATTAACTTCTTCTTTTAGATTTAGAAGACTATTCTTACGTAAGTCTTCTAGAATAATCTTCTTATATATAAGAAAATCTATAACTTTCTTAGTAAGAATAAAAATAGTATTCTAAAGTATATTAGAAAAGAGTATAAGTATATTATTAAGAAGATTAAAATACTATAGCTAGTAGTTAAGAAGCTTAAAAAAGCTACTTTTACTAAAAGTACTAATAGTAAATACTTAGATATTTTCTTCTTTACTAATAAAAGTAAACCTTTTACTTATAAGAGATAGTAGTATATTTAAAATTATAATTATAGTATAGAAGATACTATTAGATATCTTATTAATAAAATTAATATAAAACTAGATATTTATTACTACTTCTATAATACTACTAATCTTAATACTATACTTACTTTTTTCTCTCTATTTAAGACTTCTTAGACTTATACTAGTAGTTTAGTATCTAGTTTATTATTACTTTTTAGCTTTTTACACTTTTTAATAATATTACTACTACTAGTTTTATTACTTTTTTCTTAGTTTAAGATACTAATACTAGCTTTATTAGCTTCTACTACTAGCTTATCTAAACTATATTATAGTAGATAAAATATAAAGTAGACTAGATATACTAGTAATATTACTAGTACTTAGATTTTATATAAGCTTCTTATTTTATCTAAAATCTACTTACTACCTATACTATAGTAGTGTATTACTAATATCTCTACTTAATTATTTATTTTACTTTTTACTTTCTTTTCTATATTTTTTCTTTATCTTTTCTTTATACTATAAGTAATTAATATATTCTAGATAGTATAATAAAACTATACTACTAGAAAGAGAAAGTTTATACTAGTATATAAAGTATTTTTATATAAATTAGATTTTTAATAACTTAAGAATTACTTAAAAAAAGAATATCTTTTAATAAAAGCTTTTTAAAATTATTTTATTATCTACTATCTTATTTTTTACTTATACTTTTTAGTATTAGACTCTTATATAATACTTTAGATAATAGAATTTTTTTATAATAGAACTCTTTTCTACTAAAACTATTATTTATATACTTTCTTATTTATACTAATTATCTTACGTTCTTATAGTAATATATCTTTATACTCTCTAATACCTATATATTACTACTAATATTATAGCTATAAAGTTTTTTAATTTTATTTTATAGCTATAAAGAAAGTATCTTATTATTAAAAAAAAGAGTAAAAGTAAATAAATTAAAGTTATTAAGAATTAATTTAAAAAAAAATTTTTATAGCTATTAAAGTATATAAATATTTATTTAGTTAGTAATATATAGTAGTAGTAGAAATAAAAATAAAGAAGTACTTACTAATATAGTAAGTAAAGTAAGTATTAAAGAATAGAAAAATATTCTTAAAAAGCTTTTATATTACGCCTAGTATATATAGTACTATTAAAAGTATCTTAGTACTAACTCTCTATATATAAAGGTCTTAATAAATACTTATAAATAAGTATTATATTAATAGTATATAGTACTAAAGTATTCTTTTAGTAAAAAATTAAAAATATTAAAATATTAGCTAAAAGCTTAGTATACTAAGCTTTATAAAATTTACTATTTAATTATAAGTAGGCTATAAAAGCTCTACACTTTATACTTATTCTTATATATATATACTATTGCTTATAACACAAACTTAATAAATTTAAAATACGTAATACTTTTAACAGCGTTTCTATTGTATAGTACTACTTTTAGGTACAGTACGGGATACGTTATACTTTTGGCTGTACGTACCCTTGAGTGCTCCCAAAAGTACCGTACTACGTTACGCTGGGAACGCTGGCTTTCGATAAAAGGCCCCAACTATGTCGACTTCTGCTCCTGCCTGAAACACATGATTTCCCGATATTCCTTACTCAGGACGACTGAACTCAATCATACGGATTAGACATGTATTCGCAAGATAGAATTAGCGGCACTATCGAGGAGAATATCCCTACAGCCTCACATACAGAGCCTGAGCAAGCAGGTGCACTGAATACCTCCGCGAATGTGTCGATACGTTCTGGCGAGACGACAAGCTTTACAGAGCAGAGAGAGCCACAGCGCATACCAGACAGCAATCTGAACTCGGTCTCGTCGACCACGGTGACACGAGCATCGATCGACATCACGCGCCCCCTCCACAGCTATCATGAACAGATTGGCATTGAGGGACCGACAAACATCATTGAGCCGGGAGAATCCGAGGGTTTCCTCCACGAAGAATCCCCTAAAGCTAGTCCCACACAAGAAGGAGAGCCGGAGACCAAAAGCAATCAAGTATTGTCAGCAGCAACGTGGTGGAGCGAAAGTCTAGCTTTGGGGCTCGCCATAGGTGCATTAATCGCAATTGTGGTCATGATGAAAGAGTACCACAACAAGCAACAGCCTGAGTGGAAATACAAGATCAATCTCAACACGATCATCGCCATCTTATCCACCCTGATGCGGGCATGCTTGGTATTTGTGGCGGAAGAAGGTGAGCTCTGAAGACAGTCGGTGGCCGCTTACTGACGTTGTACAGTCATCAGCCAGTTGAAATGGATGCTATTCCGCCGACCAAGGCCACTCCAACACCTTGCCCATTTTGATACAGCTTCACGTGGTCCTTGGGGCTCAATACTACTTCTCTTCCGGACAAGAAAATTGTACAGGATTTAACCAAGCAGAAATCAAGTCAATGCGCTAACGATTAGCAGAGACTCCGCACTATTAGGCTGCATAGTGATCGTCTTTTCGGTTGGAATTGGCCCCTTCACTCAACAAGCTATCGAAACTGTACCATGCGATCGGCCTCTGAAGACCACAGAAGCGACCGTCCGTATAGCCAGGTACATGCCTGACTACAATGGGGTCAGATTCACCCCGGCACACAGGGAACCGGGCATAAAAACGAAAGTCGCTCTTGTTAGAGGGCTTGCCGACCCGAATGGAGCCTCATCTGAGATCACGCCTGACTGCAGTACCGGAAATTGCGTGTTTCCATCCTACCAAGGTGTCACACATTCCTCAATCGCAATATGCAAAAGATGCGTTGATATAAGCCCTTTGGTAAAGGAAGTGGTGAACATAGACAACAGCTCGTTTGGTGGGGCTGATGGTAACCTGGTTCCCACACCTGTGGAAAACTTTGTCTTACCAGATGGCCACAACATTGGTGGAGGCGCAATTGCGAATCCGCCAAAAAGGATCATGGACGTCTACGGCAACGCTGACGTCTGGAAGAGTCAGGTGGTCTGGCTGAACAGTTCGGCATTCGATACATTTGACGAGTCTTTCGACGATATCTTACGAGCTTCGATAGTTAACGTCAGCGTCCTTGCATTCACAACCAAGAATCCGGTGGATGACTGCGACCCAGGCACAGGAAGGTGCTTGAAACACAGCTTCAACACGTCGAACCTATAGCTAGAAGACCTAGATGCTGTGGCAACAGCATGCTCACTCTATCCTTGTGTTTAGAACTACTATAGCTCTATACGCGACACTATTTTTGTTAAAGACATTATAAGCTCTTATATTAATAATACTTCTCTTTTTAAGAAAACCTAATTATATAAGTATATATAAATTTTAAAAGTTATAAGTTACTTATTATAATAAGTTATTAAGTATACTATAAAATAAAAGTAATAGTTCTAAAGTATAACTTTATATATATAATAATATAAGTTAGAAGTAGAGTATATAAAGTACTTTAGTATTATTATTACTTATATAATATATATATACTATAGTACTTTTTTTTACTTTTATTACTTTTAAAATCTTAATTTAATTATATATTTTTATTAATATTAAATACTACTAGCTTTTACTTACTAATATAGTAAAAGTAACTTACTACTAAGTAGCTATATAGACTAAGTATTATTAATAAATACTTATAAATATAAATATAAACTTATATACTTAATAAAGTATTAAGTTATATAAATTTTACTTTAAGCGCTTATTTAGTATATAATATAATATAACTTATAATAAGTATATACTAATAGTATATAAATTTATACTAAGTAAGTAAATACTTTTTTTATACTAAAATAGCTATAGTAAATATACTACTTATTTATTTAAGTTAGCTAAGTTACTAGCTCTTTTAAGTAAAAACTACTTTTCTTACTTAAAGTAATATTAGTAGTAATATAGAATAGTAAAAGTATACTAATATACTTCTTACCTTTTATAATGTTTAAAGATGTTGTAAAAGAGACGCTAATAGTGCAACTACAAGAAGAGGTGCATCTGTTCCTTCTATAGGTCTACTTCTATACTCCTTGTCTTATTAATGGCCAGGTATACACCTTGGACAACATATCATCGGTACCAAGAGACAGGCATAACTTCACTACCGAGTTTCTAGACCAGGGAAACATAACCTACCCTACGGAATGCGCTTACGAGATCGATGGTGCTTACGCACAGAGCTTCACCGATTTCATGACGAAAACATTGTTCGGAAAGTGTACTGTGCCATCGAGGATCAGTTTCAACGGAGATTCGGACGACTGGAACTCTCTCCAATGCGACCCATGGTATATCAAAAGCCTAGCCAACATGGGAAACGCCACTTTCCAAAGTATCGATCGCAACATGGAGTCGATTGCAGTTACCATCACCAACGCGATGCGCACGCAAGGTAGCGGCCTTAACATGAGCCTTCCCTACGAACCCATACCGATCTTTGCGAAAGGAATCGTGATGCAGACGACAGTATGCATAAAGTTCAATTGGGTGTGGCTGATCTTCCCGATCTCTTTGACAGTCTTGTCGGTCGTTTTGATATGCACTTCATGCGGCAAAATGTACTTCGATACTCAGGAGATCCCAGCGTGGAAATCAAGCGTGTTGCCTTTGCTGCTTACCGGGAATCAAGTCGGGGCTGTGGCTAGTGCGATAGACATCGACAAGACCAAGGCAAACACGAACAATCTCGTTGTCAGTCTCGCGCACTTGGAAAGAGGATGGGAATTCGTTGTCGAGAGCCACGGAGAGAAGAAGAGGAAGTAGCCAGTTGGCAGACTGTTAGTACGCGAAGACGAAGCGTGAGCTTCATCATTTTTATGTGGACCCTTCGCTGAAACGAGACCACAGGTCATTGGGTTGGAGGGATGGTGGACTCGACGAATTCGGAGGCGTTCATAGGGTCGTAATTCGCCAATGGCGGCGGGGATGGTGCTCTCAATATATGGGATGAAACTTGTGCGATCGGTTGCAGTAGTTTCCATAATGACGCGACATCGTTGGAGCATGGAAGCACTGTGTTGTAGTTTGGAGGTTGGAGGTGTAGGTTTGACCAACCCACGCAGCCAGAGCGGAAAGATGGATTGCCAAGGGCGCTAATCCGCGCTGATCTTAGCCCCAGAGCCCCTGGATGCCCAGCCCCGGAGGTACCCGGGCGCGTATCGCCGCGCGGTTTGCGGGCCAGAACGCGAACACCGTCGCCCTCATTTTCATATCCTTCCAGTTTCATCTCCCGCACGTCGAATCGCGTCGCGAGACATGCTATATGCGCGCTGGACGGGACTCTTGAATCAGTCAACGGAAGAGCAGGAACCGGCTTTCGCAAACGTTTGGCCCCAATGTCAATGTCTTCTCATCTGCCACGCCGCGTGGTCAATACCTTATTTACTGGTCAAAAGCTTCTTCGCACAAAGTCATCTCTTTAGCTCATCCCTACTGTACAGATAGTTCAAGTTCAGCCGCGTGTGCGGCGAACATGTCAAGTACTTAACAAAGTTCGATGTCGTCCGTTCACGAACGACCGACTGGGCGTGTTGTCGCTGCGGCTAGCCTAGCTCCTCTGTTGCATGAAAATGTATAACGCGACGTATGGCAGCCCGTCGCTTCCTTCGCCGATATAAACGGGGCGACGGAAGTAATGAGAGTTTTGAGGGTCGAGCGATGCGATCTGGTCCTTCAGAACGCACTGTCGAAAAGAGTACAGGTGGTGGTATCGCATTGGCTCATATGCATCTGTGGGAGTGTCATGGAGGTGAGTTGATATAGCGACCATCATCTTGCACGTTATGGATCCCCCGAAACACCTAGCGGAAGCATGACCACGATCTTGTCATCTCGTTATTTCGTTCCAGCGTTACCTCGGCCACCCGACTAGCATCGTAGCTCCAATGCTCAGATCCCCGCTACCAAACAGCTCGATATCGCCCTACTTTATATTGTCGCCCTTTCCATTCCATGTGTTCACCAGCGTTCGTACAACCAATCCGGCGCCGAAGGCCCGAGATGCTTTCGAAAAGATGAGGGTACTACGCTCAGCGTGTCTTTTGCGCTAGCGCAAGCAGTACCCCTCCAAATAATGGCAGGGCAGAAGATGATCATTGTGTTTACGAAGACATGAATGCATGTCGCCGCTCTCGGCTTGGGGTGGTTATGTGGTATTGATGCTATTTTAAGGTGTTGAATGTCCATATTGCACGACGAGGAAGCGCCGAGCGATTTCAGCTGCAGGAACATCTGACTGGCGGAGACGAGACGGACGCAGACATGATTGGAGACTGTCGTAACCCCTCTTGCTGGATGACGCCAAAAAGTCCGATGTTGTGCCACCGTGCCACACTCGTGCATCGTACCAGCCCCGCTCGCGCAGTGCGTCATTACCTTTATACAACTCCTTCCATCATCATCCCTTACGGAGTTTTTCCCAACTACCTCAGTATGACAGATCTCGTCGCATTGGCAGAAAAAGCGTCCATTCTATTCCAGTTCTACAAGGTGTCATCGGAGAGTCATTGCCCTACTCACTTCAGTGCTCATTTCAGCAACCTCGTTCTCGCATCAGACCAATGCACTTCTGCAAATTCTGTCAGGCGATACGCCCAGTTTTCTATCGAACGACAACTAATGAAGAGATACCGCACACGGCCTATCGCAGTCACTCCGAGTCGTACCCTGACTTATATGACTCGCAACAAGCAAAGTGTTACATCTGCGCCAGACTGTTCACAAAGCTGTCAGTCATCATATGCGAAGGAAAATATGAGTTTCGTCCCATAACATATTACTTTGCTGCCACAAAGGCGAGAGACGGAGAGGATATCATGAAGAGCGCTGAGCTTCAATTCTATTTCAAGGCTACTATGTCTGGCAATAGTAGGATGATCTTCCTCGATAGCTTGCACTTCACGTGGTTGACTCCGTGTAAGTACGATGTAGAATGCTTATAAAACACAGCTGACCATTTAGACATGCTTGACCAAATGGCCGTGGAAGTACCGCCTCGCTCAAACCTGTCCAGAGCGTTAACATTAGCACGCAAGTGGCTCGTATCGTGCACTGCAAGCCACGCTACCTGCATGGATAATTCCAAGCCAGACTGGTATCCTACACGGCTGCTGGAGATCGAGCCTCGAAAGTTGTCACCCATGCTGATCGAGACTAAGGCCTGCCAACTCAGTGGGGGATATGCGTGCCTCAGTCACTGCTGGGGCTCTTTGCCGATCACTAGGCTGCTTCGTGACAACTACGACTCGTTTCGTAAGGGCATCGATCCAGCCCTTCTACCAAAAACCTTCCGCGATGCGATCGAATTCTGCAAGGAACTTGGGCTCCGCTACCTTTGGATAGACAGTCTATGCATCATTCAGGATTCGCTCGACGATTGGCGAGAGGAATCAAACATGATGTGCCAAGTCTACCGCAACTCCACGCTGTGTCTTTCTGCAGCTGGTGCTGCAGATGCTAGCAAAGGACTTTACTTTGACAGGAAGATCGAAGGAAATTACCCATTCCCGCAGTGCCCGGCTTTTTTAAGCAATAGATGCAAGCGAGATACCCAGAATTTACCCTATCGAGATTGGTATCTTGTGCCTGGAGACTTCTACACAAACCTGTGTGCTAAGACATATACCTTCGACCGCGCTTGGATCTTCCAAGAACGTTTTCTTGCTACCCGCGTACTGCATTTTGGAAGAAGGGAGATATTCTGGGAATGCTGTACAGCAAATTACTGCGAAACATTCCCAGAAGGCGTCCCACAAGACGTAATAGGCAAAACGGATATCTTGCCTAAAGCGACATACGAGAAGATACGCACTTCCTCCTACACTCAGGCCATTATTCATCCTCGCATCTTCGACATCTCCAGTCGACCGGTTGCAGCACAAATGCAGATGACTTGGGAAGCACTCATCACCGAGTATACACGGTGTGATCTATCCAATCTAGGCGATAAGCTCATAGCCCTTTCGGGGATGGCACAAAGTGTATGGCTAGACTGGAGGAGTAAGCTAAATGGAAACGTCCAATATCTAGCTGGAGTTTGGAACATACATCTGCCGCATGCGTTGCTCTGGGCTTGTACGCGTTGCGGCCCGCGTCCTGCGGCATATATCGCACCGACATGGTCGTGGGCCTCCACAGACGGGCAAATTGACTTCCAGCTGCATCACTGGAAGCACGCGTACGAATTCACATCGACTATTCTGGATGTACAAATCTCATACGTCAAGTCATGTTGGGGCCAGGTTAAGGATGGGCACATTTGGGTGAAAGGGCCCATACGGAAGATAAATTGGCTGGTGCGCAAGGGTTACTGGATTTACGCAACACATGATGAGGAGCACCCTCTACCGACTGAAGACACACCCAGCAAATACGGCATCGAGATAGTACCCGACGAAGATTATGACGTGTGTACTCAGGGTTGGGGCGAGTTACATGCACTTCTCGTTATGCGCTTTCTGGATCCAGACGTGCAGAGTCAATGTGTTCTTGTTCTGAACCCCGTGAATGATCAGTTTAACACATTCCATCGCGTTGGTATTATGTCACAGATGTCGGGTGTACAGGTAGCAGATTGGTTTGATGGCGTGGCCCAGCAAGCCATCAAGATAATTTAAGATCGATCCTCTGATACTGCGCAAGCACCAGCGTGACTATGAGCGTTGAATCAGCCTCCTGCAACGCGACTCCATCTGGTATTGCCTACCTCGTGCCAGCTTCAATATATCCTATTTTTTAGCTTCAATCTTCCAAGTATTGGAAGCTATTTCCAACACTGTTTGAGTGATTTTGAGTGTCTGGGCAGCCTTCTCTTCAGTACCGGCTTCGCGCAAAGCTATCACGCAGTCATGCAGCTCTTCGAGGCTTGTCGCGGTTGTTCTTTTCTCCTTGGATTTGAGAGCACTCTTGATATTCTCCGCATCTCCTCTTAATTCCTTGATGACATGTTCGATCTGTGGTGCCAGATCAGACCCGTCTTGGTATCGCTCTTTGCACTGGGCAAGCAGTTGGATGATATCCTGGGATAACGAAACCATATGAGGGATCTGCCACTTATTGGGTATAATGGGTATTGTTCGGCTCTTTGGAATTTCGCTCGAGCGCTTGGGTGTGTATCTTTGTCGATGGGTAACGATCGTGGGAAGAGGATTTGGGAATACCTTCATTTCGGCCACGAATACTCCCTCTTGTACGAAGAAACAGTCACAGCGGGTATGATTCACACTGAGCGCAGTCACATACAGTGTTGTGACTGTGTAGTGGCTGCGTGGTGTTGACTCTTCGCCATGTTAGTCACATTTGACTCTTCACCGCACAGCCCACTATGTCTTTCATCCCATCTTTCACCAGATGGAAGGAAGTTGAAGAAGACGGGAGGAGGTTGAGATAATACTGTAGTATCACGTAAGATGGTTTTGGTGACATGTATCGGGTGTATAGCATTTTAAATAGGGCAGTGTCTGATAGTACTTTGGAAATGGCTGGACAGGTTTTGGGGTAGATACGGTATGTATGTCACTCAAACATCGACCAGTATCAGAATGGACATTGGAATAGCTCTATATGTCTTCAAAGCATAGGCACAAGAGGTAGTTACAGGACATATATCCCCTGAAATCGAACAGTGCGAGGCGGCTACATCGACCTCTGTCACGACGGAAGGAAGCACCTCACCGAACCCAGGAGGTAATTAAGCTTTTTCACAGCCTCGTAACAAGCTTCCAGAAACCCATGTGGCCATATAATCAGCCAATGAAATCACTCCACACCGCCACAACCTACTCGAAGTCCTACACGCTACCTCATTCCCTCTCGAAGATGCTTCACACCACACGACGTATCCTCCAAAGCACTTCATGATTTGCAAGGCAATGAAAGAGACTGGAATACGCTAGGATTATTTCTGGACTAGTGTTCGCTACACCCAGCTTCACTTCTGAAGTTCGACCAAGCCGCGAGTAGTCTGCACCTACTCTTTCTCCCACATTACCTCCATCTCTACACCACCATAGTCACACAAATTCAACGGCGCTATGGCAGACAAGTCGCAAGTACCTCCGGTCTCTCCTGTATATGGGTAAGTAATCTGCGTATCGCAACTGGAGCTATCGCAGTCACTGACCCAATGGGTAGAGCTGCGGCCCAAGGCGAGATCGTCACCATCTTCATCGGTCCCGAGAAGAAGCGCTATAACATCCACAAGGACATCATCTGCCACCACTCCGAGTACTTCCGAACCGCCTTCAATGGCCGCTGGAAGGAGTCGGACGAGGGCGTAACACTGGAAGACGTCGAAGTCGACGTGTTCAACGTCTTCGCCCATTGGCTCTACGCGCAGGAGATACCGTCAGACTGGGAGTCACTCTACGACATCGCAGCACCAGGTCATACTCTCGAAAACTCAGTTTGGAACGAGTGGTCTATTGGGGAGCTTCTCTTAAGGGCTTCCGTCTTCGGTGATCGAGTTCTTACGCCGGTGTTCCATCGTCTGGCGCACAACACATTCGTCGACAGATATGTCCCGAATCCTGGCGGGACCTGCTCCGTGAATTACGCAACTGTTATCTGGATCTACGATAATTTGCCGAAAGGTCACATGGCCATGAGATTGGCAGTCGAGCTGCAATGCATTGTATGGGATACGAAGGACGATGGCAAGAGGGAAGCGCTGCTATGGTCAAAGTTACCGCATGAATTCCTTCTAGCTGTTATGTTCAGGAACAATGCACTGAAGGAACAAAAGTGCTCAGATGTGGGGGTGAAGGCGTGCGCTAGGGAACCCTAACCCGCAAACAAAAGACACAGAAGTGATGGGCGCGAAGAGAAGCCGAGGTATTGTCGCAGTTGGAAACAGGACCCGCAAAGGCAGTCCTAGGGCGATCCGGGTGGGAACAGAATAGGACTGAATGTGATGTGCTGTTTGGCCTCAATGTAGAAAGAGCGATCAGATGGACTGACCTCACGTCCCACCTCACTTAGATTGGTCGCACCTTCCCGTATCAAAACACCCAGACATTCACAATCGCAAAGGAAAAAAAAAGCTCCATTCGATACTAGGGTATAAGATGAAGAAGCCAAAATACCACAAACCCATCCACTCCATCCAGCCCTACCTAGACTAACGCCATCCTCGCATCATCCTAGAGTCACCAGTACCAGTAACTGTATTCCTCACTGCCCTATTAATCCGAATATCGTGACACAGCCCACCCACCAATCCTAACCCCATCAACGCCAATGTTGGTATCTCGGTTATCATAACTTTGTACTCGTGCGCCTGCTTCATTGGGACTGACTCAGGTCTGAGCGTTCGGTGTCGGTTTATCTTCGTGCTCCTCGACGATTGGGCTCGCCGGCGCCTCGTCCTCGTCGCTCGCCTCCCTCGCGTCTTTCCACTCTGAGCTCTTCCGGCTGATGCGGGCGGGACCCATGGGGTTTTCGCGGGGGCTGGCGAGCGGGCTGGTGGGCGTGGCGCGCATGCTGCTGATACTATCAGTGCGGCCGTGGCCCAGGAGCCCGCTGCGCACACTGAGTCCGTCGGCTTGCTTGGTCGCGTAGTAGCTGTTGCGCTCGCTGGGCAGGACTGGGGCTGTGACGCCAGACGCAGAGTAGACGCTCGCGCGCTCGGCATTTACGAAGGCGCTGACGTTGCTTGGCCTGCCGGAGGGCGAGTATATGGCGTCGGGGTTCGCGGATAGTACGCTGAGGGGCAGCGATTCGCGACTGCCGCCGTAATGCGACGACGGGGCTAGTGCGCGCATCGAGGCATTGGTGTCTACGGAGTTGCGACGGCGGCGCTTCGAGGAGGAGGCGAGTGTGAGGATGGACGCGTTATCGGTGAGGATGTTGTTCGCGGTGGCGCCCTGATATGAGTTGGGCTGCTGCTGCTGCGGCTGCTGGGGCGCCAGATGCGGCGGTATGGCTGACGGCGGCGGGGAGGTGGGGAACTGATGCGAAAAGTGCACGGGCGTAGTGCTTGTGGTTGTCGCATTGTTCTGGGGTTGCGCCTGGCCAAGGTTGAGGATATTTGAGGGCGCGGTCGATTGTATGGTGGTCAGGGTGGTGGTGAGGGAGTGCTCGGAGCCATGTGGGGACGAGAACGTGCTGCCGCCATTGACAAAGTTGCTGCCGCCTGTCTCTGCCTTTGACCTTGACGAGTGTACTGTCTCGGGGACTGTGGCTACCGTGGGTGCTGTCGACTTGTTGCTCTTCTCTATCGCCTGTCGCTGTCCGGCTGCGGGCTCCTCTATGGACGTGTAGCTGTCGTGCGATCGTAATGTGGCCGGGGTCGTGACGGACGAGTTGTCGGCGGGCGGTACGTTGGTGTTGATGTAGCCAGACTCAGGATAGGGGTTGTTCTTTGGGGCGCCTTTCTTGACGGTGTTGCCCTTCTTGCCTGGGGCGTCGGAGGATGAGGGCTTGAGATTGGCCAAGCGCTTCATCCAACCCGCAAAGGGTCGCTTGCGCGCATGTCGGTCTTTGTATCGCGTTAGCATCGTGAGCATGATTTGGTGAGGGGAAAGTGGGCGTGGCGTAGGGAGGATATAATTTGGGTAGTTGTCTGAGACAATGGCTGTGCAAGACTAGTTCACCGTACCATGGGGTCTCGACGCAGCTTCGGCCGTAGCCATTATGCCGGCTGCCAAATATAGAGTGCCGGTGGTGAGTGAAGGAGGTCGTTGGGCTAGTTAGGCGCGGGATGCCACGTTTAGTCTGACGATCCCACGTCGAATCTACTGGAGTAATGGGGACGCGGCTGTCGGTAGCGCGGTGTGCGTCGTGAAAGCCAGCGCAGGCGGTCGGGCGCGATTATCGAATGGCGAGACAGCAAGTCGTATCGCTGCTATCAGTAATCCGAGGCGATTGAGGCAGTATGAGTTACGCGGTTGGGGCCGGGAGGTTGCGCTGATGGGGAAAGAGCGAGGAGCTGCTGGTCGCTCCTGCTCATATCTCCGGCTGGACCCTGACCCTTTTCCCCAGCGCACCTGCCGCCCGCCGCGCTAAGCCGCCATGTTCCCTTCACGACACACGATTGCGTATGTTCTGTAGATCTCCATGTTATCGCCCACCCAAACTCAACACTGATCACGGCGCGACCCCTTAACATGATCGAACACGGGTCATCAAACAACGAGGGCTGAGGGGGCGCCCGCCAAACTTATCACTACGTCATGACCCGAAACACGTCCATTGGCGCCAAACATACTATCCCCAATGCTCCCACGCGAACTATACTGCCCCTGCCCGCCGAGGTGATCGCCCAAATCAAGTCGTCGACGGCAATTGTCTCGCTTACGGGAGTTGTGCTTGAGCTCTTGAAGAATTCCCTGGATGCGAAAGCGACCAAGGTAGAAGCCGCGATTGACTTCGCGCGCGGCGGATGCTCGGTCGAAGATGACGGTCTCGGCGTATCTCCCCTCGAATTTCGCGAAGAAGGAGGCCTGGGCAAGCTCTACTGTATGTGTACACGCCGGAAGCCATATAGATAGAAAATTGACGGCGACAGGCACGTCCAAGTACCATGCGACCGACCCTCTCCTTGGCCGCAATGGCACCTTCCTCGCGTCACTCGCTGCTATGTCACTCCTGACCATCTCCTCACACCACTACCAACACCGTTCACACAACGCGATAACGTTCCACCAATCTAAGGCCGTGGAAAGGCAACTTCCGGCGTCGGCGTATCACGAGATATCAGGCAGGCATGGCACCCGCGTCACCGTGCGGAACTTGTTCGGCAATATGCCCGTGCGCGTGAAGCAACGGTCGATAATCTCTCACCAAAGAGCCGAACACGACAGACTCTGGGATGGGTTGAAGAAGGACGTGACGAGTCTGTTACTTGGTTGGCAGCGTTCGGTAGCCATAAGGATAAGGGATGGGGACAACAGGGTGGTGCTCAATCTCAGCATATCCGGCGTGGAAGCAGCCACAAAGAGAAAAGAAAGTGAGATTGCGAAGCCACGATCGGCACAGCTCTCATCACTCCTCAACGTATTGACCCAGGCCAACTACATCACCGTCGATGAGTGGGCGTCGTGGGTACCAGCGTCGGCTTCCACATCTGCCATCTCGATCAAAGGCGCTATATCACTAACTCCAGCACCCAGCAGGCATGTTCAGTTCATCTCGCTGGGCATACGACCGCTTTCTGCGGAGGCCGGCCACAACGAACTTTTCGATGCAGTCAATCGCCTCTTCGCATTGTCCAGCTTCGGTACTATCGAGGAAGATGCCGACGTTGATGAGCAGGAGAAATTTCGACGGCAGACAGACAAGCGCTTCAAGCAGGATGGCTATACAAACAGACAGCTCAAAGCACGCAAAGACGTCGACAGATATCCCATGTTCCACCTTCGCATCTCGTTGAGGGAGGCTCGCAAGAGAAGCGTGTCCGAAGATCAGTTCATCGGAGATGAAGCGAACCTACAGAACGTGATGGAGGTCCTGGATGCGATGGTAACTCAATGGTTGTCGGTCCATCACTTTAGACCCCGGCATCCTCGTAAGAAGCGCGAACGGCCTGGTACTGCTTCCAGCGCTGCTGAGGACGCTGCTGTCAACACGCCATTCACGGACAGCCCCACAACGAACATGGCTTTCCGAGAACACGATACGAGAGTGCGCTCGGCAACACCAAAGCAAAGCTCAACTCCGTCACAATCTCTCAAGAGGAAACGTCCAGAAAAGATATCGTCACGCGAGTTGGTCGACAAGTCTCGCTCCGGGGCTTTTGCAGAGTGGTCACGCATCAAGAGTGGAAAGCCCGAATTCTTCAGCAGCACTCTGAACGTGCCGAAGTCCAAGGCTGCATTCGATACTTCACATGGCGCAAAGTCCGAAGCTTTCGCCCACTTCGAAGTAGCGCCACTAGCTCAAGGTGCTCTGAGCGGACAAGTACAGCGCGACGACGTAGCGCCGCCTACACAGAGCCTGGAAACCGATGACAAGGAGAACGACGATACCATCTTGTGGACTGATCCAACGACTAAGAAGACGCATCTCCTAAACGCTAGAACAGGCTGCGTGGTCCCAGACGCTCGCACGCGACCAAGTACCGACTCAGCTATACTCTCGAATTCGATATCCCAGAACACATCGAGTAGGTCCATGCGATTACCGACACGGGCTGCGACGGCTGTGGCTGGCAAGACACCCTGGCTTGATGATGTACTCCACACGTGGGAGAACCCAGTCTTCAAGACGAGCGAGAAGCGTATACAACAAGCTGTGTTGCACGCAGATGAGGCTGACCACGGACACCATCATTCCAGACATGGCCGTTCTCGCATCGATATCGACAAGGCTTTTAACCAGACTTCCACGGGTGGCTCCAGCAGATTGTCGAGAGAAGAATTGCAAAATGCCCAAGTCATTGCGCAGGTCGACAAGAAGTTTATCTTAGTAAAGATGCGAGATTCAACACGGGTAGAAGATGCGCGCGCGGGACTCCTTGTACTAATCGATCAGCATGCAGCAGATGAGCGTGTGCAGGTTGAGTCGTTACTCAGCCAGCTTTGCAGCCCGCTTCAAGGTGAAGAAGGGTATCGGTCAAAGCTCGGCCATCAGGCGCAGGTTGCCTCCGTCATTCTGGATAAGCCAACGCAATTCGCGATCTCGCCGCAGGAACGAAGACATTTCACAACGCATGCTGCGCGTTTCGCAGCGTGGGGTATTCTCTACGACATCGTCCCGACCGCAATATCTGCATCTCTTTCCAGCACTACCGACAAAGAGAAGTATGTCTTGTCCGTCACAGCTCTTCCAACTGGCGTATCCGAACGATGTAAAGCCGACCCCAAAGTCTTGATCTCTTTCCTCCGCTCGACAGTCTGGAAGTACGCCGAAGATCCACATCTCCCTCCTCTACCCACACCATCTAGTTCTTCATTGAACGACCCCGCAGATTGGGTCAAACGTCTAGCCACCTGCCCACCTGGCCTCATCGATCTCATCAACTCTCGCGCATGTCGTTCCGCTATCATGTTCAACGATGAGCTTAGTATCGATGACTGTAACGCGCTGGTAAGGAACCTAGCGGGTTGTGTGTTTCCGTTCATGTGCGCGCATGGACGGCCGAGTATGGTGCCGCTCGTTGATCTGGGAGGTTTGGGTGAAGGAGCTGGCGGCTTGGGTGGTCGCGATGAGGCGGCGGAGGAGGTGGATTTTGTAGGTGCTTGGAAGAAGTGGAAGAAATGAACGTCAATACACGCCTTTCTCTCGAGGACTGACAAGCTGTACTGAGTCACACGTTCGATGAGTCAAGATACCATACCTCCCATTGTCGCACGAAGCGCAGTTCACGATCGTGCTGCACGCGAATGTACTGACTCACGCACACTGATTGTACAACCAGATATGAGTCCGAATGCGCATACTGAAGAGTCACGGCGAAGTATAAAAGCTCGTTGGAATTGACACGCACTACTCACGACTACTGCAGGGCATCCTTGCTTCTAGTAACTATTTGCCTCGACACTTTCACAAGCGTTACATATCGCCACCGCGTTAGCCATGTCAAGCGCAAAAGAACAAGCACGGGTACAAGAAAAAGTTGCAGAGGATGCCGGACTCTGTCAAAAGCTGGATGACTTGAAGAGAGTGCTTGGAGCCCGAAATTTCCATACGGAGAAAGTCGTCGAGTACAATGCGAAGCAGTTCGCGTCGGTGGTAGAAGGAATCAATCCGTGCCATTGGATGGATATGAATGGGAACTTGCATCCGGTAATTCTGCCTTCCTGCGGAACGCATGACGTCTACTTCTTTACGCCTCTCGATTTCGCCTCTTGGAGGTATGCGCGAAGTCTTACTCCGTTACCGTCATCTCCACCCCATAATACACTTGATATCCTATCGCAACGAGCGACTCACAACTTCCAAAATTCATCTGTACCTATGCAATCAGGTCCTCTCGAAAAAAGAGAAGTATCGTCAACACAAGAACTCTACTCTTGGTTTGACGCGGGGCCGCCGGTCGTCCGCGCTGAGTTGCCGTCGCGCCTGGCCCGCTTTCCGTACTTCCTGGACTCAAATATCAACATGTATATTTTGCCTCGCCTGGTTCGCGATCGATTCGACAGGCGTATCGATATTTTGTTAAAAGTGGACACGAAAGTAAACATTGCATGGAAAAAGAGTTTGGTATTCAAAAACTTCCTGGGCACACTGAACGAGAGGTGGCCAGGCGATTTTCCAGCTGCCAACATCAACAAGGTAGTTTGCTTTGGACTCGGCGAACTGTACGGCACCGAGGAAGAAGATGGTCCAGACAGCCTTAGTCGCGACGACCGTTGTCTGGAAAAATATCTTATCCTTCTCGCCTTTGAACTAGGTCATTGGCTAGAACACAAACTTCACGTGCGTGTGCCAATGATCCTCGAGGATTCAAGATGCGACGAGCAAGATCGTCAGCGCATAAAAAACTACTCAGACGAAACGGTCACGACAATAAGTTTCATGGATAAATGCAAGGCCCTATTTGAAATCGACAAAAATACCCTGGTACTGGTCCCTGGTAAACCTCATTTTGCCATCCGCTCACCCATCGCGGATCTTGCCAAGATCAAGGGAGCCCCCGCTGGCATCTTCTGCGAAACAGTCCCGAGGATTATTACTACTAAAGACGAGGTTACCTTTGGCAAGGACAATATGACTGATCCACCTACCAGGGTTTTGGCGTCTATGGTGGAAGATCACATGGAGGATGTATGTCGAATTCCTCGGTGGGGACTAACGTTCTACATGAAACGTGCTCTACTTGAAACATGACCAGTCGGAACAAACTATCGTTGGTGTTATGATAGCTTCTCCATCGACAAGATCGAAGGACGAGGCAGGGAGTACATTTCAATCTATGATATTTGCATCAACATCTTTACATACCCCAAAGATCGTGAACACCGTTCCTCTCTATTATTCTCGGCAAACTCGACTTGGTGGGAAGCCGCAAACATAAAGCAAACTTGGGTGCCAGACACAGCACAACTTAGCATGAAGTCAATGTCAGGATCACCTATTCTCCCACTCCAAACATCAACCCTTTCACCAACCTCATAGAACCCCCCTCTCAGCCCAAGACTTGATGATCCCCTCGTCACTCTCCTCGTACTCCCTATATTCCATCTCTCCATTCTTCTTTAGGAACGTGTTTCCCTGCACGAACTTCGCCCTCCGCTCCGGCCTCGTCGCCACAACGCTTCTCCACTCCTCATATACACCTTCTACACTGGTCAACGTCTCGTAAAACGGTCGACACGCCCCGACATTCGCTGTGCACCGCCAGATATGTAGGGCACACATCAAGCGACCCAGCGCGGGTTTGCCGTGGGAAATGATCTTGGTACTGTCGATGGTAACGTAGAGGGCGGATGTGTTAGCATTGTGATGGACGGTGAGAACGGCGTCGCCTTCGGTGAGGAGGTGTTTGAAGATAGCGAAGTAACCTTGGCTATGCGCTTGAGTCCACTTCTTGTCATCGGGGTTGTAGTGTTCGAGCGAACGGAGACCTTCGACACCGAGGTGCAGGTACGAAAGGTAGACCAGATTGTCAGCCGTTAGCGCACTATTCTCGTCGTATCCGAAGATCGCGAGAACGTCTTTGTTATCGATGAGGTACGCTGACATGAGTATAGCCCTACACTCTTCAACTGAATTGGCAATGTCCTCGAATATGCTCCAATATGTTTCGTTGGGGCGGTAGCAGGAGGCCACCGTTTGGCCCGTCAAAGGGTCAATCGGCGGGTTAGTGGCGTCAAAGTTGAAGATACCGGGGGCTGTTTCGCTAAGGAGCTTTCCAGTGCCGTGGCCGAGGAGTTCGTGGATAATTGTTGCGACGAAGCGGATGGTATGGAGGTTTTGGCGGTAGAGTTCGCGGTCTGGGGGTTGGAGGTAGATGGATGCGCCGGAAGAGTTGCGATTCGCGCTCATTCGGTTAGCAATGATGATGTTCTTTGAGCCGTGATTCTCGCGGATGTCGTTGTACTGAGCAATTAGAGATGAGTGACTAGATTTTCGAGGTGTGGAGGACAGTTAAGGACTTACGTTGGGGAGATTTGACGCTTCCCAAACATACGGGCAGCAGACTGTTAGCGCTGCGTCATCGGCATTAGCATGCGTTTATGTATGGAGAGGGCCGGCACTCACCATGCACAATAGCACATTGGGGTATGGTAACCACATCCTTCTCGAATAAGCCCTTGCCCTCGTTCTCCGCCGTCGCCCAAGGTAACAATGTACAGAACTTCGCTGCACTAGCCACGAAGATTTCCATCTTCTTTGTTTCTTCTGGGTCTGCGATACACACCACGCCCTCCCACTCCGCTCGTACGCCATGGGGATCGCGATAGGTTTCAACGAAGCCGAGAATGTGTTCGATTGATGGGGATTTGTCTTTGACCCAGATCTCCTGGCCTCGTCGATATTCTCGGAGATCTCCGGTGTTGAAGCTGTACATGTGGCAATCGAGTATGTCCTTCTGATTTTGAGTCTGTACGTACATACTGGCCCTCTGGAGGCTTTAAAATTTCGTTAGTCTCATTGCCAGGCTAGCAGATCTTGATGCTGTCATCGATGGTTGGAAGATAGCAGGATAGAGATAGACCTACTGTGCGGAGATAGTAGAGATCTCGTCCTGATGATCCCCTTTCATGCGTCTGAATCTCGGGCCACCAAGTTGTGTAGCTGTAGTAAGCTTGCCGCTGCCAGTCTGAGTCGAGGCCTGGAGAATGTCGAAGATGGCGTTCCCGTTATGGATCGTCTTTCGCACTCGCGTATTCTCTGGCTCAACGCCTTGTTCCTGCATGAATAGCTGTACTTCCTTGATCTCTGTGCGCATAATGCGGTCGCCCAGGTAGTAGCTCGAAACAGCAGTATCGCTTGGATATCCTGTGTTCTGCGGAGTTACTGCAGTCATACCCTCAACTAAGTTCTCAGCAGCAGATCCTGTCATACCCACGCATCCCACGATTTTCTCCAGAGACTCTTTGCGAAGATCAGGCACAAACTTCTGGCCTCCCTCACCCTACATAGTCAGCACATAATCTTGTCTTCTCTCACAACTGCTGACACTTACATAGAAGTTCCCGAGATTGTACAGGAATAGTCCAGCATAGCTCAAAAAGGCCTTGACTTCATCGCCGGTTACCGCGCATACTTCCTCGAACTGGCTCCACTCGCCCTCGCATGCACGATAGGCCTCTATGATGAAGTTGAAGATGGCTTCGGATTCTAAAGAGGTTTGGCGCAGGATGATGCGTGCTCCTTTCCAGGCTGCTTGCGAGAGATAGTGAGCGTAGAGCTTGTCGCGAGGTGGGAGGCTGTCGAAGAGAGGCTTGATCGCCAGACGGTAGATTGGAGAGGCCTGGTCGGGCACTCGAGCGCGATTGGAAGCCATTGCGGAATGGTATGGTGAGGTCGTGAGTAAAATGCGCGCAGGTGTAGCGACTCTGATCCCGCGTCGCTGTGCGTTTGCATCGGCTGCACGTGATCGAAGCAAACGCAGCCATGGATGCATTGACCCTTGACATCAGGTTCGAGGCGGCATTCTGCGGTCGAGAAGGAATCCAGGTTCACACCATGGTCTTTCGCGGCGCACGAGACTATGCAGAGCTTGGCTCAAGCTACGTTGGTGTACGGTGACTCTTTGTACGACATTGGATGTTGGGTATTGGATATTGATTCGATTAGTGCCATATCCTCGTTTAGTGTTGGTTATGATATTACTTGTTTCACCGAGTCTTTTACTCCGTTCTGGTAAGGTAATGACGCATTAGCGATGGGTCAAGCTCGTCCTCAACTAGCAGCTGCACCGTTAACAAGAAGTGGAAAGATGGTCGAAGCGATCGAGCACAACACGTCAACATGGCGCGGTATTGGCGACGTTCGAGTTGCACCCAGAGACCTAGCGTAAGCAATTATAGAACGATCGATTGAGAACTTTCGGAGGAGCGAGACTTCAAGTAGATTTGCGTCGTTGCCAGCAAGCCAGCAGCGATGGTCTTCGATGAGTCCCGAGGTCGGTGCTCCATGTGGACGCGCACGCGTTCGGCATCCGACCATCTTGACTAAGAGCAATTGCGATGTAGACGGAAGGGTGTTTTGGGGTTCAATTCGAGCATCGGTTCTTTGCGATACTATCATCTGAGAAGGCGGGCATCGCTGTGTTTGATGGAAGAGTGTGTCGTCGATGCCAGCTGGAGAAACGCGCTGAAGTTTAGCGTGGAAGATATGTGATGAGCTAGTCCTAGTTGGGTACAGTCACGTGGTCAACACCCATCATCAATCGCGTCGACGTCGCATTGCTCTCCGCCTTCCATCTGCATGTACTCTGCTCTCCTTTGATGATAACGCAACTGTTCTATCGATGATCGCGATACGAAAGCCGCATCACAGAGGTGCCGTGCCACACGATCGCCAACCGCAGCTGTGACTCCCTCTTAACGGACGGCACGCTTATGTCCATGGCGCAAATCGGAGATCGCCACGCCAGGTGTAGATACAATCCGGAGAACCAAGCAAATACGCGACTGCAATATCCACTCAAGCTTGCGCCCTTCCCTTTGCCGACGCTGACATCGCAAAGTCGAGTCAACACACGTCATTGACGAACTTCATTAACCCGAACGTCTCAACAGCCAAGCCTCCACTCCGCTGCTGAAGCTGAATTTCGTAGGTAACAATGCATGAAGCTAAGCCCGCGAAGCGAGCTCTTACTCCAACAAACGGTCTGTCATAGCCGGATTGAGTAAAGATGTGCGCTGCACCCCGCGATTCGGGAGACGTTTGGCGGGGATCTATCGTTGGAGAATCGGAGGAGATGCAGCGATAAGAGTGTTGGGGGCGTACTGAGTGCAAGGCGTTCCAATCAACTTACAGCAAAACAACATGTCGCTAAAGGAGAAGGATCTTGAAGCCGAGCGAAAGGAGCATGTCAGTGTTCACATAATGTTTACTGAAACGATGCGCTGACGACAGAAGGTCTCATTTGACGAGAAGAGCTATGGCGGTAGACATGACCGTGTCAACAGCGACGACGCTGTATATCCAGCGAATGACTCTTCGGGACCAGCATCGTCGCCTGTCGAAAGAGATGACAAGGAAACACGTCGCATCATTCGGAAGATAGATCTCAGGCTCTTACCAACACTCGCTGTCATCTATGCCTTCGCACTCATCGACCGCGTCAACCTTCCGAATGTACTGCATATCCCCAGTCGTCCTTGTAAGCCGTATACTGACTCACCATTCAGGCGCGTATTGCAGGCATGGACGAAGACTTGGGCCTCTCGATCGGCTCACGCTACTCCATACTCACCATGATTTTCTTTATTCCTTACATCATCTTCCAGTTTCCTGCCAACATAATCATCCGAAAACTCGGTCCTGCCGTATGGCTACCCTCCCTGGTCGTTTGCTGGGGTGCTGTCACGATCGGCATGGGCTTTACGAACGACTGGACGCAAGCATTAGGTTGCCGAATCATACTGGGTGTGCTCGAGGCTGGCTACTACCCTGGCTGCGTCTTCTTGCTGAGTTGCTGGTATGTGAGATTCGAGGTGCAAAAGAGATTCAGTGGATTCTACCTGCTAGCGCTTCTTGCGAGTGGTTTCTCAAACATCTTGGCTTGGGGTCTGAGCGAGATGAGAGGACTGGGAGGCCTGAATGGGTGGCAATGGATATTTGCGATCGTATGTCAAGCCCCTTCATATTCTCTACCAGTTGCTGACAGATACTAGGAGGGTGCCATCACCATGTTGCTAGGCTTCCTAGGCTACGTGACTATTATCGACTTTCCCGATAAAGCCAGCCAACCCAGTCCCATTACAAAACGCCCTTTCCTGACCGATGCGGAAGCCAACATAGTTCTGGCCCGCATCCAGCGCGACCGTGGGGATGCCGTCGCCGACAAACTTACCCGGTCGACCATCGCCAAACATCTCCGCGACTGGAAGATCTGGGAGTTTGCATGGCTCTACTTTCTCAACAACGTCGTCGCATACAGCTGGGGATACTTCCTGCCAATCATCCTCCGCAACGACATGGGTTACTCTGTCGCCATGAGCCAGATCCTGTCTTTCCCGCCTTACGTCCTGGCTGCGGCTTGGATGTTCGGTACGGCATGGGTCGCCGACAAATATAGAATGCGCGGTGCAATCATCGTGTTCAACTGCGCATGGGCAGTCTTGGGAGTGTGCATGATGGCTTTCCTCAGCAACGCTCGCGCAAGGTATGCTGGAGTCTTTTTGGGAGTCAGCGGTGCAAACGCGAATGTGCCGAGCATACTGAGTTATATGCATAACAACATCGTGGGTCAGATGAAGAGGAGTGTTGCGAGTGCGTTGTTGATTGGAGGGGGAGCTTGTGGGGGTATCGCAGCGTCGAACATCTTCCGACAACAGGATGCACCCAAGTACATGTAAGTTCCATGCATCACGACGTACGTAGAAATGAAGCTAACTCTTGTAGACCTGCTATGGCTGTCGTCATCGCGACCCAAGTACTAAGCATTCTGCACGTACTGAAGAACTTCTGGGTTTACTCACGCGCTAATCGCCAGGCTGATCGCGGAGAGAGGATTCTGGAGGGCCAAGAAGGCTTCCGACAAACGCTGTAAATTTGGGGTTGTACTACCCGCCACTGTGCCTGCGTACGATGAACACTACGAATATATGCCGCTACGCTATGCTATGCCATGCTATCAAACTCATCAAATAGTACGCGACGTGACAGCTTCCCTTCACGGCAAGGATCCCATATCTCGTGTGCCAAACCAAGACTAACCCATCAACCTCCGCCGCCTCCCACTGTCAACGCTAACAGTATTGTCTGGCCCGATGCTGATGCTCAAACTGCTGGTATCGTCCTCGCTAGGAGCTCTCCTCCTGTCTCTGTCTCTGTCCCGTCCGCTGACAGCCTGGCTCTTACTCCTCTCGGGTTGTATGACCAGCCACGTTGAGCCGCCCCCTTCATGCTCTTGTTCCATGAGCTGCAGTTGTGGTCCTCCGCCTCTCTCATCTCCTCTTCGCATGTCCCTGTCTCCTCTTCTCACATCAGTTTCGCTTAGTCCTCGCTCGTTTCGGCCGCGCTCTCGACTGGGCTTTGCGTTCTTGGTGGGTGGCGGAGGAGGGAAAAGAGAGGGGAACTTGGCGGTTTTCAGAGGTAGTGTTGTAAGCGAAGAAGGTAGCGGGAGAGATTCGATCAGCGTCAGCTTCTCGAGTGGTATGGAGGTGAGGAGAGAAGCGGGTAGGTCGACGGGTGAGCATGCGACTATCGTATGCCGTAGGTGCGTGTTCGATGCGAAGAACGACAAGTTTTCTGTGTCATGTTAGCGACTTCGCGGCCTTCCACCTCGAGCATGCGTAGATACATGCCTCGCACTTTTCTTCCTGCTCCGCCTTCCTTGCCGACTCCAGTGTCGATCCAGTCGAAGCTCGTTATCCTGCCGCAGAAGCCAGTCGAGAAGGCTCGTAGCTGGCCCAAGTTCCGAACCTTCTCAAGTCGTACAAGGTAGTTGGCCATGCCCTCCAAGTTGGCATATATGCGGACGATGATGTCGAGTGAGTCGGCATCTTCGTACAGCTCCCGCAAGTATTCCCTGATCCGTATGTTCAGTTCGTCTGCTAATGCTTCGCCGCCTTGAGCTTTTCGTGTTATGTATTTGTCTTGGAACTGGGACGGTCAGCTAAGATGCACGACTAGAAGTATACTACAACACATACCAGGAAGCCTTCGGCATCGGCATCTATGAGCACCATAACGAACGGCCGTTTGGACTGCGACTGCACTAGAGCCTCTTCTTTTGCCTTGGACTCTGACAGCTGCCCTTGCATCGTCCGCGTGACATCTGCGATTTCCGCTTGCAGTGTCCGCCTGACATTCTGTTCGGAGCCGAGGTCGAGTTCACATTGTGCGAGGCGTGCTTCTGTCTTTTCGAGCTTGTCTAGGAGTTCCTACCCTATCGTCAAAACCATCATGGCACCCGGGACGCCTCCAGTAGCATACCTCGATAAGCTCGCACCTCTTCTCCTCCAGAATCCTAAACTGCGACAACCGATCGCGAAACGTCATCGGAGGTGGGGCAGGCGGGCCCGCAACAACTAATTCCGCCATCTTCAGAACTGGCAAACGTCACACAATCACCAAAAGGCAGGAAAATTACTAAACGACAGAAAAATCCGGGGATCCTAACATTTAAGAAGACGCGTTGTTTTGGGCTCCCGCGCAGCGCTAGCTAGTTGTTTTGCATCTGCATGGCCCAAAGTACGGTGACGCCGCCGGTGCGAAAGATGGCAGGTTCTGATTGGCTGGGCATGTGGGGGAGTTGGGCTCATACGCTGCCTTGGTGTTGGAAGTCACCGGAAGCATACAGAAGGTCATGAGCTGGCGGGCTGTGTT